GCCGGGCGGGCGCCATGGAGGAGGGCTCCAGCTCGCCCGTGTCCCCGGTGGACAGCCTGGGCACCAGCGAGGAGGAGCTCGAGCGGCGGCCGAAGCGCTTCGGCAGGAAGCGGCGCTACAGCAAGAAGTCGAGCGAAGATGGCAGCCCGACCCCGGGCAAGCGCGGCAAGAAGGCCAGCCCGAGCGCGCAGTCCTTCGAGGAGCTGCAGAGCCAGCGCATCCTGGCCAACGTGCGCGAGCGCCAGCGCACGCAGTCGCTCAACGAGGCCTTCGCCGCGCTGCGCAAGATCATCCCCACGCTGCCCTCGGACAAGCTCAGCAAGATCCAGACGCTGAAGCTGGCCGCCAGGTACATAGACTTCCTCTACCAGGTCCTGCAGAGCGACGAGATGGACAATAAGATGACCAGCTGCAGCTACGTGGCCCACGAGCGCCTCAGCTACGCCTTCTCCGTGTGGCGCATGGAGGGCGCGTGGTCCATGTCCGCCTCCCACTAGCGCCGCGCCACCCACGTCCGGACGGCCCCGCGCGCCAGGGTAGGTGCTGCGCGTGAGGGCGGGGGTCGCGCCCGGGGTGGCCGGGGCCTGAGCATCCCTCGGGAGCCAGATAGGGTGCGCTGTTCCTTCTGGCGACGCATGGGGGACCCCGGCGTCCCGGGGCTTTATGACACGGGTGCCTCCCGGGAAGCCAGCGGGGTCGGAGGGCGCTTTTAGACTGCCGTAATTGTATTCTTGTTGACGCGTGGGTATCTGTGGGTGATCGGGTGGGGGTGTGCATAGAAGAACCTCCTGGGCCGGCCAGGGCAGGGGTACGGTGGTCCGCTGCCCTGTGGGTCCATCCCAGCAGCGCCCAGGCCCGACTTGTGCCGGACTTGTGACCTCGCCCTCCTCCGGGAGGCCGCAGCGCGCGCTGCTCTCACAGGCACGCAGATCTCGCTGCTCCCGGCCCGTGCTCTGGGAGCCCGGCTGCTGGCGCCCTAGCCGGCCCAGGGAGGGCAGAGGTGCGGGCCCGCGGCGCCTGGCTTTACTTGGGGAGTGCGGGAGGACACTGCCCGGCGGCGCGGCGCGGGCTGCTCTTGATCATTGCGTGCGGGGAGCGCGGGAGACCCAGCCGGCCGAGGGTGCGGAGACGGGTGCACGAGGCAGGCAAAATGCACACAGAGGCGTGGAGGCCCGGGCTGCTGCCCGCAGGCACGTGGAGTCAGTGTAGACGCAGGAACCGGGGTTGCAGACCCAGCCTTGAACCTGGAGAGCTTGGAGGGGCCTCCCCTGCGCCGTGACTGGACATCCAGTGTCAGGGGTCCAGGCTGGGAAACGGGTTCGGGAAAAGGAGGTGGTGAGCGCCGGCTGGAGCGAGGAGAGGGCAAACACAACCCAGCTAGAAGGGCTGGTTTCCCGTGGAAAAGCACGCAGGGCTTCCTGTGCCGGCTCCCTCTCCCCAGACACCTCCAAGCCACTTAGGTTCCAGCCCAGGCGGAAAGTCCTGCTGCCCTCCCTTCCACCATGTCCTGGGCAGCGAAGGCACCAGGGACTTTCTCTGGGAAGGGTGTTGAAAATCCTACACTGTATGTTTTGGTTTTTCCTACACCTTATGGTGTAGGAAAGAGCTTTTTATTTAAAAAAAAAAAAAAAAAAGTCCGCTTCCCACAGAAAGGGTTTGATCACCAGCGACCCCATCCATCCCCCAAAACATTATTTCGTGTGGTCGATAGTACCTGTGAGCATTGCTGCGGCCGGAGGGTGATCCAGCCCAGGTGGGGTTTCTTTCTTCTTCCTGTTTTCATCTTTTATTCCTGTCACTGAAAATTCTTTTGATGAAGTAGTCCTCCACGCAAATGACCATTTTATAGTTTTAAAAAAGAATTTTTAACAAGATAACTTGTGGGAATCTTCTCTTGTCTTTGTCAGAAAACAGATGGGAAGTATCTCGGTCGCCTACTTCACCGGGAAAGAGAGTTTCGATTGGCTGAGCCCTAAATGCTGCAGCAGGACAATACATTAATTCTACTTTTTGCTGCCTAAATTCTGAACCTCTGTTAGTTACTTCCACTCACACTCTCACTATCTGTGGTTTACACCACGGCTGACGTAGGGACCAGCAGATGAGGAATGACATCTTCTTAAAACTCCCACGTAGAGCTTTATTTAAGAAAAATGTTGATAGAGTTATTGGTAAAACTCCCCTCCAGAAAATTATTGGAAACGAACACCAGGAATTATTACACTGATGCAAAAATTTAGTAGGAACACTTAAAATCCATTTTAAAATGATTATATTCTTTAAAACGAAGAGAATCAATTGTGGATAACAATGAAATGTTACATAAAATAAAAATGCAACGCCTGTGATAGATAAAGAAAAACTGTAAGCTTGTCTGGATTAAGCAGTCCTTAAAATATTAGCTAATGCTCATATCACAGATTGGAGAACACATGTTCTCTGTGTGGACGGATTTATTTTTATCTAATTGAATATAATGGCTAGCTTAGATAAACCAGTTTATTTGAATAAATATCCTCTACAAGAAAAGAAATATTTGATATACTAATGATTCGGGAACACTTTGGTTTTATTAAGCAGGCATGTTAGGCAAACATCTTTCTGTCCTCTGTTTTTAACCCATTAATATATTTAAGCATAAATACAGCCCAAATTAATTTGATTTCTTGGAAATGTTGCTAAACAGTGTTTATGTATTTGTAACATTTCCAAGGAGCATTAATTATACATATCAGCAGAAACATCTGGACTTTTCCGTAAGTTTTATGTCCTTTTGATGTCTAATGTGAAATATTTTCACATGTGTGAAAAAGCTGTGTCCAGATGAATGGCCGGAACAAAAATATCTAAGTTGTCTTTTGACGTAAAGACAAGGGCTGGAGCCAGGGGAGCTGGGCTGATTCTCGGGTTTACCCTGGTCCTCTTTGGCTCCGTCTTTAATTAGCCTAGAAGTCAGGTGTCTGCACAGTCAGCTGGATTCATCTAATTGAAAACTCTGGAAGGAGGGAGCAGGGTCAGAGCCCCCTGGCTTGGGGTTGGGAAGGTGACCGTTCCCTGCTAGATGCGTGTCCTCCTTGCTTCACAGTGGAAGAAAACATCTAGCCTCGCTAAGCACGCAGATTTCCAGCATGTGGCTGCGCTTGACAAACTCACTCTTTTGCGTTCTGAGAGCTTCCGGTTCCTTTGGAGAAAGTGTGTGCCCCGTCACCATCCAATACATGTGAGCCTGCCCTTACCCCTGAAAGCTTACTTCTTGGACGTGCTTGCTGAGCGCTACATGTGGGATGATCTCAAAAGAAAGTCAGTTCTTTGGAGAGAAGAATGGAAATGCAGAATCTCAGTGGAGCTTTTGATTGATGAGTGAGAAGTGGAATGCAAAGCGGAACCACCTGAAATATGGATAATGTTTTGATGGGTAAATACCCATCACCGAGTCTGTGGACGCGGCTGACTTCCGCTGTGTGGTGATCATCCTCTTAAATATCGCGCGTTACTTTCCCAACCTCAGATGAAGGAAATCGTGCTCCCCATCTGTGTGAATGGGGGTGCAGTGGGGACAGGACCTTATGATCTGCTATTTGAAGTCATTGGAAATATAGTTCTTCACTGAGGTTTTCTGAAAATGCCTGTTTTTCAGACAGGTTGTGAGCTTGAAAGAATCACATTTTCATCATCCTTGCTTGCCTATATCCTGAATAGACGGTGCAGATGTCAGATTCCTTTTGCCTGGCAGAAAAGATCATAAAGTAAACTCATTCTGTGCAGAGCACTATAACTCATAACTTGAGTTTAAATCTGGGCTTTAAAAAAAACAAATATTTTAATAAGCCAATTTTAAAGGCTGAACTTTTATGACAGTTTTTAAGCTCAGTATTTATATTAATGTATTCTCACTGGTGTCTTTAAGAAGCCTGTGAATGCAGGCTGGAATGTCTGTTTATGTTTGTGTCTTTTCCTGGGAAAGGATGGATGTGCTGCAAAAAGAAAAGCAAATGCAGCACTCTCCACTAGCAGAGAGTTCACGAAGGGGGCCATAAAATTCAAAGAAGAGATGGGTAAGTTACTGTGGCCAAGAAATGGAAAGCTATAAAGACGGAGCAGGATCTAAGAGATACACACATGGATGTTTTCAAAAGCAAAGCCAAGATGAAACACTAAAATCAGAAACTGCTTAGAAAGATATTCCCCGTGGTCACCTGAGCTTACACATGTGGTAAAAGTCCAAGGAACTAAACGTGCACACATGCACACGCACAGAGGCGTGTGCAACCCTGGTGACGTCTGAGTAAGTCCTGCCGCCGGCCCCGTGACACTTTCTTGGTTATGATCTTGTTCTAGAACTTGCCCACGTAAGATCCTTAGGGGAAATGAGTGAAGAGGATTAGAGGAATCTTTGTATATTATTTGCTAACAACTTCATGGAACTCTACAATTTTGTGAAAATTAAAAATTTTTAGAAAGGTGTCCCACAAAAATTTTAAATCTCTAAATGAGAAAATTTCACAAGGAATTATGACTGCTTTTATCTCAGAACAATCGACTAAACATCTACTTTGAGCAGAAGCCACATTTTTCTTCTTCCTGATGCCCTTTACATAATTGCACTTCTCTGGATGTGAGGGATCTCAACATATAATTAATCAGGGCTGACTCCTCATAATCATTAAACAGAGTAGCATTTCAGAAATGTAAGGACAGAGACACCAATTCAAACAGAAATACATATATTCCTGTACTACTAGGGAAAATATATCTTGAACCCCAAACTGATAAGCGTTTACATTTGGGATACTAAGTGTACATTGACTTTTATCAAATGTACACAAAATTCTAAATCTAATGATGTGTGGAATCATTTGCTGAGTGGGCAGAGATTGAAGTTTTGGTATTTGGAGTTATCCAAGGTGACAGGGAAGAGCACGGTGGAACAGACTCAAACCCTAAACTTTGCCTTGGGAATACAATTTGTGTTTCGGTTCAGTAGTAAACTTCTGCATGTGATTTAGCCAGGTTAAACTGTGCCTTAGCGGGATGTTCACTTCCGAAGGAGAAACATGCTAAAAAAAACAAAAAACAAAAAAACCCGCCGTGCCTCAGTTTACCCCAACAGCAGCACGTAAATAATTTTCATGCTGGTGCAACCTCGCTCCGCATGGTTGTTACATCAAAGAGAGACTTGGACCTGAAATTGGAAAAGACAGCATGTAACTGTATCCAACATGAGGGAAATTTTTGGTGGTTACTTGAAAATAGAGTCATTTTGAACCCAAACAGTGTTTGACATGCTTCACATATCTGTATTATTTCGCCCACAAGTCCATTGTTTAGAGGACTGTGCGGATCCTGTGATTATGACTAAGATGTAGCTTTGAGAGCCCAGGGTGCGGTGTCTGCTGAGTGTGTTCCTCAGGGCCCGGCCTCTGGCCTCCAGTTCTTCCCTGTGTTATGTGACCGGGGCTGAGTAGATATCCAAGCTTCCCCCAAAGCCTCATGCAGTGTGTCGAGTTCTAAGAGCAAGGCTTTAACACCGGACCAG